CTGGGAGCGACACTGAGGGTTGCGATCCATTGCCGGACACGAAAAGAGACAAAAAGGAAAAAAGATAGTGCAGCTGCTGGCTTGGAGATGCTTATATAAAAATAATCACTGTGGGGCCGGCCCGGTGGCGCACTGCTACAGTGCACCGCTTGGGAAGCGCAGCGGCGCTCCCGCCGAGGGTTCGGATCCCACATACAGACCGGTTCCTGCTCACTGGCTGAGCGAGCTGCGGGCGCAGTGCCGAGGGTTGCGATCCCGTTGCCGGTCCCGGTCCGGTCCAGGAGCGACACTGAGGGTTGCGATCCATTGCCGGACACGAAAAGAGACAAAAAGGAAAAAAGAAAAAAAATAAATAAATAATCACTGTGCTTATAGAAAAGCTTATAGAAAGCATAATTCATAAACTTATGTTCTTCTAGTGAGAATCAGGGCCTGGCTTTATGTAGCATTTTAATATGAAATACTAAAAAGTGGTGGGGCTGGCCAGTTAGCTCCATTGGTTAGTATGATGCTGATAACATCAAGGTCAAGGGTTCTATTGCTGTACTGGCCAGATGCCAAAAAAAACCCCAAAACAAAAGCCACATAATTATAATATGACATATATTATAATTCACGCTTGCAAGATTATGAAAAGAAGGCAGTTGATCAGTACTAGAAGTGGCTACTGGCTCAACTCACACCCTTACCACTAGTTCCTGGCTGTGTAGCCCACACCTCTACCTCCCAGAGTGAAGCCATCATCCTTTCCCAGTGCCCCAAGGATTCTTGAAGAATAGGCCACTGCTCTAAAAATCAACGTCCATCTCTTCTCACCAGGAAACTAAAAAAAAAAAAATCAAAGTTTACATTCAGGAATTTGGTAATACACTGTTTCTTATATTGGGAATATCATGCTAGTGACTCACTTTATTTTATATGTGTTGGGCCCTCCCAGCAAATGGATTTATGCCAATAATACTAAATAATGAAATAATACTCCTAATAACCGAGAATTATTGAGAACTCTGCTAAAAGCTTTACCTGCATTACCTCTCTTATTCTTCATAATTTCCCTAGAATGTTGATATTGTCATTATCCCCATTTTGTGTAGTGTTTAAGAAACTTACCTAAAACCAAACTCTTAGTGGGTGGTGAAGTTGAGACTCCACACAACCATGTTCCTTTCCTCTGTACCATATGGCGTCCCACGGATTCATCTGTACTTTTTCACTCAGTCATCTTTGAGACTAGAAGCATGCATTTTGGATAACTGGATCAGATTCCAGGATAAAATCATTAAACATGGAATAATAAAAACATTGTTGACCCATGCAAGACTAGAACCCATCACCTTATTAGGAGAATACTCTAACCAGCTGGGTTGCTACATCAACTTAACTATTATAATCAGTTTTCAAAATGATGATAAAAATTTGCCACTGCCACTGAATGCATGACTCCAATATGAAATGAATTCTCCTCTGTTGCTACTACAGGTCATTTTTGACCTAGAGTAATTCATGCTTGCAAGAACCAGTCACTCATTTTGCTGTTTATTAAACACACCACGCCACCAAGGGCATTCCTTTCCCAACATGCTTTTAATGCGTAGGATCCAATTCTCTGGATTTCCTGGTTCAAATGGCCCCTTCCTAACTTCCACAATTGACCTCTACCCATCATGTGACTTTCCTGCCTCCAGAATTATTCCTTATTATCAATCTATAAGTGATTTGGGGTATACACTACAATTACATGAACTTCATGTATTTTACTAACTCTATAGGATTCCAAGATAAAAGCCAGGATACTGGCTTGAGTTTGTGTTTATTAGCAAAAGTCAGTTGAACTATGATATAAGCAAGATGATTTTGTACACAGTTGTAGCCTCTAAAGGTTTACAATAAAAGCCTAATTTGTACATTTTCATTTCAGTATAAATACAAAGATGGTTACCGCAAGCAGCTTGGCCATCACATTGGAGCCCGGGACATTAAGGACGACCCCAAGATGATGTGGTCCATGCACGTGGCCAAGATCCAGAGTGACAGAGAATACAAGAAGGACTTTGAGAAGTGGAAAACCAAGTTCAGCAGCCCAGTGGACATGCTGGGGGTGGTGCTGGCCAAGAAGTGTCAGACTTTAGTCAGTGACATAGACTATAAGAACTACCTGCACGAGTGGACGTGTCTGCCCGACCAGAGCGACGTCATCCACGCTCGGCAGGCCTATGACCTCCAGAGTGACGTGAGTATAGCATCCATAGCAGAGCTGTGTGTAGAAGTAATTTAAACTATGTGAAAGTTATTCTTTGTATACAATCCATTGACCTACTCGAGCTAAGATTTATTGAATCACAGTATAATTTTATTGCTTCATTATGAATACGTTAATAGGTTTCATAAGAGAGTGAAGTGTACAAGGTGGACTTGGTCTTATAAAAACGAAAGTAGATCAAGTAATGTTAGAATTTAGGGTCCACCAGAGGGAGACATTTTCTTTTATTCTATTAGGGGAGAAAGAATGCATTTTTATTTAAAAAAGAAATTACTCTGGAATTTGTTTTGGGCTTCCTTGGTAAACAAATAAGGTTATAATTATTAGGGATGCTAATCCCTGCTACAAGGCTAAATGTTATTCTTATGAAATAAAAGAAGTTGCTGTGTCTGTAAGCTAAGTGTCGTTTCACTGACACCTCCTTCTCTTAGCGTGGCTGTCTTTATGGGGGGTCACACGGTAATGACAGAACCTAGCATCTATTGGAAGGAGACGTACTCTCTCAAATGTGGGTGTGATAAGCACATTTCCTGCACTGTATAGTACGTAAACGTTAGAAGGAATTACTAAGCGTTAGAGGATTTTAAAGAATAAAATGAATTCATGATAATTATACATTAATTGAGTGTTTCTAGAAATGGTACAACCCACCTGAGAAAGCTCCCATATCTGTTCTGTAGCTTTCAACATACAGAACCCTGTGTTTTGCAGTTCTCTCCAAAAAGAGAGATTTTGCCTGCACTTGAAAGGTTGTTAAAAAGGGCTGATGTCACCCATGGAATGAGAACACTGACAGACTGCCTGCCATCTGTCTGTTTGTTGGGTGCCTTCTCTAAATTTCTCCCTCACCCTGTGATGTGGCCTCAATAATGTGGGTAGCATCTGAAAGTTAAAAAGCACTCCAGAGGTATAAAATGTCATTATTTTCATTGTTGCTATTGGTATTTAGGGGGCAGTAACTAGTCCCAGGCCAGGACAATTCCAATAGTCTTTTTGTCTGGATTGCAAAATACCAGTTCTTATTTTCTACTTAGTTGCTGTTACATGTGAAATCCTTCCAATGAGCTGAGCAAAAGAGCAACACCATTGTTGTGGAGTAGTTATGAATACCTAATGGGTACATAGACATTTTTAGCAAAAAAATAACGATTTAAAATAAAGTGAGAAGTAAAGATATGGCAAGATTATTCGAGAAAGGAGTCCATGCTTCTATTCTGAGAACTTGATGGGGAAGGGCGTGGTCATTTATTGGCCTGAATGTCGCAGTGTTACTACTGTGCTGTCGAAGGTCTGCCTTGGGGCTTCAGAGGTTCACCATTATTATTACATTTTAACTTCTCTCTCTCTCTTTTTTTTAACAAGTATTGCAGATATTTTGAAATATAAGAAAAGAAGCAAAGAAGGCAGTAATAATCCAACACAATCTAACCACTAAAAAAGTCTACTCCTATTCATATAATTTATCCACCCACATTGTTTCATGTTGTTTTTCACTTAATATTACATTAGTGACATTTCTTCACGTTATCAGTATTTTAGAAAATGAGGCTCTTAATAGCTGCACAGTGTTTCATTTGGCTAGGCCTAAGATTGACTGACTGAATGATCAGTCATGCTGGACATGCGTGTGGTTTGCCTCTCTCTGGGTTGGCTTCTTTTCCTGTGCACACGGGCAGGCATCATAGTTGTAGTAACACTCACTGAACCAACGACAGAACATGTGAGCATCACTCCTCTCCTAACAACCTAAAATATTAACTTTTTATTATGGCTAGGAGACATAAGTCCTCTTTTAGTCTGCTTGACACAATGAGCTTGTTTTCTATGAAAAGAAAATAGAACTGCACTTTATTATTGGTTCCATTTGCATCTGTACCCTAAATCTTTTGGTCTTGATGAATAGTTTCTGCCTTTTTTCTCTTCTTAGAATATTTACAAGTCAGATCTCCAGTGGCTGAGAGGCATTGGCTGGGTCCCCATTGGGTCTGTGGACGTGGTCAAGTGCAAGAGAGCTGCAGAGATACTGAGTGATAACATCTACCGCCAGCCTCCAGACAAGCTGAAGTTTACCAGTGTGCCAGATTCCCTGGAACAGGTGCTGGCCAAGAATAACGCCATCACCATGAACAAGGTGAGCCCCAGCTGCCTCAAGCTTTTCCAAGATGCTGAAACATATTACATTTTAATGACCTGTGGAGTTAAAATTACCCATGAAGTTGCAGGGTCACATTTACCTTTTAAATTACATTCTTGAAATCCTTTAAAAATTTCTATTATTTCTAGTTTTAACCTTGATAGCCAGCAGTAAGACCCAAACTTCCAGTGGAATACCTTATAACCAAGTATGTCTTATTTTTCCTGATTAGGTCAATAATAACCCTGTTCTAATTTGACTTTTTGTAATTCCTATTTTAAATGGTTTTTGATCAGAATCGTGTCTTCTTTTATAGCGTTTATACACAGAGGCTTGGGACAAAGACAAGACTCAAATTCATATAATGCCTGATACGCCAGAGATCATGCTGGCAAGGCAGAACAAAATCAACTACAGTGAGGTAGGGGCAGAGTTCTGCAGTGCTACGCTTATTTTTGTTGTTGTGTGTTTTTCTACACTTAGTTTTGTGGAGATTCTCAGGCTTCAGCCATCATTAATGCATGTGGCTCTTTCATATGAACATTCAGCTGGTCTAACCTTTCATCTCTAGGTTGAATATTATGTTTTATAGGATTCCACGGAGAAACTGAAGTGACAATGTCTTTTCTGTTTACAGCCATTCTCAGCAGGACTGAGTAGTATTTTTGGCATATCCAAGGGGTAGAATTATCAAATAAAATTCTGGCCCATTATTTATGCTAAAACATTATTTGTTGTTTATCTGAAATTCAAGTTCAACTGGGTGAGCTATATTTTTACTTGCTAAATCTGGCAACCCTACCAAGGAGGCCTCTAATAACGTGTACCTCTTCCCCACCTAGGTCCTGAGTAGGAGAGAGAAATAAAACAAAGGAACAGAAACAGAGGTCAAAACTCTCACTTTTTTTTCTTTTTTACTACCAAAGTTAGGTTAAAGGACACATTTGTATGAGGGCTGGATGAGCCTGCTAACTGAGTATCAGAATTAGGTTTTCCTACCCAGTTGATCTGCTCACCGCCCTCAGAGGTAAGGCCCTGCTTAGAGCACAGAGAAACTGAGGAGGACACTAGGCTTGCTCCTAGAGGAACAAGGGGACAGCTGAGCTAAGTGTGCCCACCAATTCCATCTCTGCCAGTTAGATATACCAGTAAATAGCTGTATCTGTACAGAGCAGAGAGAGTGAAGGGGCAGAGGAAGGCTAGAGTTCAAATCACTGAGCTTCTTTTATAAAAAGAAAACCTCAGGCATGGGAAGAAGGGTTCTCCACTAACAGCACTGATTATTGATTTTTTAAAAAGTAAAACACACTTTATAGATGCATGTTTTACTAAAATAATACAACCAAAATTTAGAATCTTAAAGTTGAGATTATAGTCAAGTTACCTATGTTTTAAGTTATACTTAAATTTTTTTGATTTGTTCTTTAAGCATTATGAAATATTATGTGATTGTCATAAAAATTTTAAGTAATAAAGAAAAGAATAAAAGTATATATTTTATATAAATGAATAATCTCAAGCATATTGTTCTGCCTTTCTTTTTCATTTAGCAGTATTTATGAATTGATGCTTTGTCCAATAATCTTTATTACCAGATTATATTAATCTATGTTGATATGCATGTTATATTAATCTGCAAATGATATGTATTAATCTATAATGATATGCATGATAGATTAATATATCAATCTATGTTAACACCCACTGATATGTCTCATTTGTTTCTAATGCTATATAGTATTTTTTGTGGAAAATATAATTTACTTGCTTTTCACTATTGTCAGAAACTTAGATTGTTCAAGTTTTATAGTATATGTCACTTAATAATCTCCAAATTGTGGCTGACAAACTTTTTTCTTTAAATCTTTGACTTTCTACAGAGTCTGTATAAACTCGCCAATGAAGAAGCAAAAAAGAAAGGCTATGACTTGCGAATCGATGCCATCCCCATAGTGGCAGCCAAGGCCTCCAGGGACATCGCCAGTGACGTGAGTATCAACACCCCAGATATTTATGTGGGTGGATGGGGCAGGCAGGCAGGATCATTATTAGAACAGGAAAGTGCATGTGGGTGCCAGTTAGAGCACATTGACTGACTTGTTTTTCTAAATCAATGAAATATTTTTCATTTGAAAAAACTCATATTTTTAACTCCAAAAGGCTTTAACATCCAGGTTCCATGGGGGAGGGGAGAGGGTGTTCTAAACTTCAGTATAAAATTGAATCTGCATCTACAATTTTTCATATCTACAATTATGAGAAATTTATCTCCACATTTTGAAGACATAGCCCTCATAGAAAAAAGAAAATGCCAGAAGAGTTTTTAAAAAATGATTTGGTTACATGTATTGGTTCAAAGTCAGATAAAGAGCTGGTACAGACAGGTCTAGGAAAATTCACCATTCCCCATTCTGTGTGTTATTTTGAAATGTAAACAGAAAAACAAAAACAACCAAAACCATGATTTGGTTACATGTATTGGTTCAAAGTCAGATAAAGAGCTGGTACAGACAGGTCTAGGAAAATTCCCCATTCCCCATTCTGTGTGTTATTTTGAAATGTAAACAGAAAAACAAAAACAACCAAAACCAACAAAATGGTGAATGTGATTTCTCTTTCTGCTGTCCCTGAAAGAAGTGGGACCTTAGATGGAGAATTCAGACTTCTGTAAATATACATTAAGATTTGTGTGATGTTGGGGCCGGCCTGGTGGTGCACTGGAGAGTGCGCCGCTTGAGAGTGCGGCGGCGCTCCCGCCGAGGGTTCGGATCCCATGTGGAGACCGGTTCCCGCTCACTGGCTGAGCGTGGTGCGGCGCAACACCGAGGGTTGCAATCCCATTACCGGTCAGTGAAAAAGACAAAAAAGGAAAAAAAAAAAAAAAAAGATTTGTGTGATGTTGTCGCCCAAATTAGAGACAAAATATCCAGGACCAGCCCTTGTCACCACCATAACACAATGCTGTCTCGTAGGTGGACTGTGCATTTTCTCACTTCAGGAATTTCAGACAAACCTCAGCCATACTTGATCTCCATCAGGGAAGGGCATGCAGGATGGAGACACAACTCAGTCCATTTCAGGGAGTCAAGTGACCCAGCAAAAGTCGGCAGAGCCAGATTTGGGATGGGTATTGAGAGGCTTTGGTGGGGAAATAAATGGTATCTGTGGACTCAGCAATAGCGTTCTCAAAATCCTATGTAAGACTTCCAGGTTAGTGATTTCACGGGCTCAGGATGAAGAAAAAGCAGTATACAGTACCGATTGTTCTTCTGAAAAGTGTTTCTGCCTTAATTTCCAGGGACTTAATGTCTGAAAACTATAGGACTATGTAATTTGGCCTGTCTTCCTAGGAGACTATTGCCATGAAGTCTAATTAGAGCTTAGGATGAGGAGATAAGTTGATATTCAGATGATTCCATTTCTCTGTGAAAATTAGCAATTTTAAAATAAGAAAGTTTTAAATTATTAAGATTCTTAACTCTTTCCATTCATTTTTATTCTTGAAACGACCACTTTTATTTCAGTATAAATACAAAGATGGTTACCGCAAGCAGCTTGGCCACCACATTGGAGCCCGGGACATTCAGGACGACCCCAAGATGATGTGGTCCATGCATGCAGCCAAGATTCAGAGTGACAGGGAGTACAAGAAGGACTTTGAGAAGTGGAAAACCAAGTTCAGCAGCCCAGTGGACATGCTGGGGGTGGTGCAGGCCAAGAAGTGCCAGACTTTAGTCAGTGACATAGACTATAAGAACTACCTGCACGAGTGGACGTGCCTGCCTGACCAGAGTGACGTCATCCATGCTCGGCAGGCCTATGACCTCCAGAGCGACGTGAGTACTGAAATCCATGGTAACCACACTCATGATAGTAATACATAGGAACACATTGACAATGGTCAAGGATCAGACAGAATCGTCAGAGGGGATGACATTTCTTCTCTCTGTTCCTTATTTTTTATGCCCCTTTGCTCCTTACTATTTTTAAAAGAGAGAATGAAATACCATGAGACTATGTCTAATTTAGCCTTCATATTTTATAAGAGGTAGACCTGAAGTTTGACTATCCAAGTTTTACAATCTTTTTTTTTTAAATCATGCATCTTAACAACTTCAGTAATACTTGCTTTTGTGTTTGATCTCACCAGAATATTTACAAGTCAGATCTCCAGTGGCTGAGAGGCATTGGCTGGGTCCCCATTGGGTCTGTGGACGTGGTCAAGTGCAAGAGAGCTGCAGAGATACTGAGTGATAACATCTACCGCCAGCCTCCAGACAAGCTGAAGTTTACCAGTGTGCCAGATACCTTGGAACAGGTGCTGGCCAAGAATAACGCCATCACCATGAACAAGGTGAGCCCCAATTTGGGAAAAAATGAAACAAGGCTGTATGTCATTTAGAAGACCTATGATTAATTAAGTTAGTCTTTGTATTAATTCATTTCTGTTGCTTATAACAGAATACCTGAAATTGAGTAGGTTATAAAGAAACAGTATTTATTGCTTACAGTTTCAGAGTCTGGGAAGTCCAAAGTCCATGGAATACATCTGGTGGGGGCCTTGTTCTTGCTTCTGGTGACTCTGCAGCAATGCAGGATATCACATGACGAATGGTTTGAGTAAGAGAGAGCTAACCTGCTCACTTGATCTCCTTATGAAGCCATCAGAACCACGCCCCTTACTCCATGAATGGATCAATCCATTCACCAAAGCACAGTTCTCAGAATCTAATCACCTCTTCGAAGGCCCTATTTTTCAATTACCATAACAGAATTTCCCACCCTTTTAATGTTATTACAAAGGGGATTAAATTTCAATGAGTTTTGGATGGACATTCAATCCATAGCATTATTTTTTGTTTTATCCAATTAAATCACTATCCAATGCATAATTATTTGGTTGAGTTCTCTTTCAGTGACATAAGTATTCCAAAAATATATGGGGGAACTTCTGCTTTAATGTTTCTTATGAAGTAGCCAGAGTTAAGAATAGGACAGCTGTTTGGGGTTCAAATTATTTGAAGTCTGAGAGTTATACATGGTTTGGTATCAAGGTTTCTTTCTTGCTGGATATTTATGTAGGTAAGCACAGAAGGAACAAGTAAGATGCAAATATCTATGACATTTATCAAAAATAAATCTGGAGAAGGTATATCCAGGTCTATTTGATGTTAGTAAACAAGCCATGTCAAACAAACAAAACCATGGGAAGGATTTGTTAACATAGCCACAGTACAGATACGGATGTGTATATATGCTTGGGAAATACTTGCTTTTAATTTAATTGGGGTGGGGGTGACCCAGTAACCAAACACACACACACCAATATATATTTTATATTTTTTATATATTTGTGTGTATATTTATATATATATTTTTTCTTTTCATATTTTTGTATACATTTATATTTAGTTACAATAAATATCCAGTAATATCAGAGTGGTTGAAAGAGTATTAACACACAGCACAAAGTGTAGGTAGCAGGGAAGCTGGCTGTCAACTTTGTCATGATCTCTTAATTAGGAAGTCCTGGTTATGACAAACTTTGTTTTTCTAAGTTATTAACCTTTTTGTCTTTCACAGCGATTATACACAGAAGCCTGGGATAAAGACAAAACTCAAGTCCATATTATGCCTGACACACCTGAAATTATGTTAGCAAGACAAAATAAAATAAACTATAGTGAGGTAAGACCACTTGTTTTATTTCCTTGATCTGACCACATTGATTTTTGCTGTTGTAGAAATGTCATAATTATGCATTTAATTCTCATGTGGGCTTAGTTAGCTTAGTTTTGTTTTTTTATGCCCATTAGCCTACCTTAAATGTATACATCACTGTATTCAAAAATTGGTAAAAAAAGAAAAATAAACACAAAAATGTCTCCACATCAGGAGGAAAAAGAAAACCCTCAAAGTCAACTACTAATGACTGAAACATATTACACTTTTAATTAAAAATAGTTATTGCTACTTTTCAAATTAGTACTTGCTTCAAAATTTGTTCTGAAGTTTGTTTTCTTCAGTTTTCTCATCTGTAAAATGTAATAAAAATGCCTATCTTGAACAATTTTTGTGTTGACTGAGTGAGGTAAACTGTATAACATGCTCAGTGCAGAGCCTGGTGCAAAATAGTTGCTTCATAAACTTTAATTTCTAATTTTTACACTCAAGTCACCATAAAAATTAGATGTATTTAATATGCTCAAAATAACTTGAGGTTTATCTACAGGAACTGAAAGGAGAACTTCAATTGACCCATTTCAAAACTGCTCAAGGACAATAAAAAACATTCTTTTATCTCCAGACTCACTAAACTTTCCATCACATATCTTTGTAGTCCAGAAATACCTACTGCTACGTAAATAGCTTCTTGTTCAATTGCTCTTGCCAAAGTCAAAAATTTATATGGTTGATTCAAGAAGAATACTGATTTCTTACATGTTTATGTATCTTCATTAATAACAATGACAAAAAGAGGACA